TAAAAGTGTGCACATGGGTATGTGTTTGTTTGGGTTGAGGATAATCCACAGAACTAGAGGAGATTGAGAGGGTCTATGGGTATTGATTGTTGAGTGATTTATACGTTTTGATGTATGTTTGTAATTTTTTACAACTAGTGGATCTTGTTTCTCATCCATGGACGTAGGCAGTTAGACCGAACCACATTAAATTATTATCTCTTATGTGTTTGATTAATTGTATGATTTCACTTCTGTTAGTGTGATTAGATTGGGGCCATTTGGTCTAACAAGTGGTATCAGAGCTGTGATGATTCTCAACAAGTGATATTAAAGCATGGTTCGAGATATGAAAAGAGACAAACTTAGAGGAGCTCAATTCAAGAAAGGAGTTCAAGTTCATATTTTGAAGATCGATTTACGTAAAACATGAAGATACATAAGAGATACATAAGAGAAAAATGGTGAGACTTTTATTGTAGGTGAAACCAAGTATGTCTAGCATGAAGACAGATGATTAATGAACTTTGAGTCAAGGTAAAAATTGTTAGGAATAATGACTCAAATCCCATAAGAGATTTATTTGGGATTTGTTAAAGATTTATTTGAGATTTGTTAGATATTGCTTGATGGACAAGAAGAATTACAAAAGAAGAATTCTAAGAGAAAGATGATTCTTAATAGGCATGTTTGACTTGCAGAAGAAGAATTTTAAAAGAAAAGAGTTTCTTAATAGGCAAGTTTGTATAGTTATAAATAGGTGAAGTCTCTACAAGGTTAGGTATGAAAAAAAGATGTAAGAGAATTGTAAGATTTATGGGTAGATATCCCATAAGATTACTGAAGATTTACATCTTATAGGTGTATATATTTGTTTGTGAATGAACTAGATGAGAGGTATGAGAAAAAGATATAAGAGAGTTATAAGGTTTATGGGTAGACATCCCATAAGATTACTAAAAATTTACATCTTATAGGTGTGTATATTTGTTTGTGAGTGAACTAGAGCAGACTGAGAGGGTCCATATAGGTATGATGTATGAGTGCATATAGGTATGTGTTTGGTTGTATTGAAAGTGTGCATATGGATATGTGTTTGTTTGGGTTGAGAATAATCCATAAAACTATAGGAGATTAAGAGGGTCTATGGATATTGATTGTTAAGTGGTTTATATGTTTTGATGTATGTTTGTAATTCTTTACAACTAGTGAATCATATTTTTCATCTATGAAAGTAGATCGTTAGACCAAATCATGTTAAATTCTTGTCTCTTATATTTTTTATTAATATTTGATTTCACTTTCGCTGGTATAATTAGATTGGTGCCATTTGGCTTAACAAGTTATATCAAAACTGTGGTGATTCCTAACAAGTGATATCAGAGCATGGTTCGAGACATGGGAAGAGACAAGCTTAGATGAGCTCAATTCAAAAAAGAAGTTCAAGTTCATGTTTTAAAGATCGATTTGCATAAAGCATGAAGATACACAAAAGAAAATGATGGTGATACTTCCATTGCAGGTGAAACCAAGTATGTCTAGCATAAAAATAAATGATTGATATAATTTAAGTCAAGGTGGAGATTGTTAGAAATAATGACTCAAATCCTATAAGAGATTTGTTAGAGATTTGTTAGAGATTTATTTGAGATTTGTTAGATATTGCTTGATGGACAAGAAGACTTGAAAAAAAAAATTCTAAGAGACAGAAGATTCTTAATAGCAAGTTTAACTTGCAGAAAAAGAATTCTAAGAGGAAATGGATTCTTAATAGGCAAGTTTATATAGTTATAAATAGGTGAAGTTTCTACAATGTTATGTATGAAAAAAAGATGTAAAAGAGTTGTAGAGTTTTATGAATAGACACCTCATAAGACTACTGAGGATTTACGTCTTATGGGTGTGTATATTTGTTTATGAGTGGACTAGAAGAGACTGAGAGGGTCCACATAAGTATGATGTATAGGTACATATAGGTATGTGCTTGGTTGTATTGAAAGTGTGCATATGGATATGTGTTTGTTTGGGTTGAGAATACTCCATAGAACTAAAGGAGATTGAGAGGGTCTATGGGTATTGATTGTTGAGTGGTTTATATGTTTTGATATATGTTTGTAATTCTCTACAACTAGTGGATCTTGTTTCTCATATGTAGATGTATGTTAATTAGACCGAACCATGTTAAATTGTTGTCTCTTATATATTTGATTAATTATTTGATTTCGCTTTTCGCTAATGTAATTAGATTGGGGCCATTTGGCCTAACATGAAGCACCGGGTATCTCAGCCTTATTTGAATCCCAGCAAAGTAATTCCAGCAATGGTGTATTGGATTGAAATAGCACTTGCAATTGCTACACTTATCTTTTTCTTTAAAGCATTGGCACGAAAAAGATGGGGCAAGAAGAAACTATTTCCTGGTCCGAGAGGACTTCCTATTCTTGAAAACCTTCTCATGTTAGAGGACAAACCTGACCGAGATCTTGAACCCTTAGCTCAAAATTATTGGCCCATCATGCACTTGCGCTTTGGCCTGGTGCATATAATTGTTGCATACGACCTTGTTTTTGCTATCACGCCATCTTTTGAAGCTAGCAAGTATATATATATATATATATATATATAGCTTATAATCAGCAGAACTTGTCCCTTTTTTCATACGGGTCTGGCGCAACATGCGTAAGATCAAAGATGTGCACTCTTAATGCTAAGTTCCCATCTCTTCTACTGACATGACTTGTAAAATGGTGCTTAGAAAGATATTTGGATGATGATTTTGATGAGAAGGGCTTCAAAGCTGTAATTAGAGATCAGGGAATGCAACTAGGAGCGGCTTTTAATTTAGCTGATTATATTCCTCAAATTAAAGCACTTGATCTTCAAGACCTAGCAAAGCCCATGAAAGTGTTTTCCATGGTGTTTGATAAATTCTTTGTAAAGATAATTGATGGGCATGTTCAATTCAAAGATGATAACGAAACCGAGGACTTTGTTAATATTATGTCGAAATTCACGGGTCAGAAGAAACTGAGTTCCGTGTCGAGTGAGACAATATTGAAGCCATAATCTTGGTACTGATCTCCCACATCTCAACAAACAATATTTGATTTTCCCAAAGATAAAAAATAGGACTTGAAATTTAAAACCATTAAATCTACATTTTTCTTCTCTAATTTTCACGGTATCCTTGAATCTAGAAACCGTACTTCTTGCCGACAATTCCCTTGCAGGACATCCTTGTGGTGGTGGCTGCAATGGCACTTCAGCAACTGCAATTGAATGGACACTATCCGAACTCATCAAGCTTCCACAGGTAATGAATAAAGTCCAAAAAGAGTTGGAAAATGTGGTGGGTCTGCAAAGAATGGTGGAAGAATTTGATGTAGAGAAATTGGACTGCTTGGATATGGTTGCGAGAGAAAACTTAAGGTACCGTTGTTGGTCCCTCGTGGGGCTCTGGCAGACTACATAGTTAATGGCTTTCACATGCCCAATAATTTCGAATCTTCATCCTATGGGTCCTTGGCCCAGAAGCTTTTTCCATAGATATTTATTAAGTGACATTGACATCCGAGGACACAACTTGCAACTAATCCCGTTCGGTTCTGGCTGTAAAGGCTGCCCTGGAAAGCAACTGGGTCCCACTATGGCTCGGCTTGTGGTGGCACACTTTGTTCATTGCTTTGATTGGGAGCACCCAGACGACGCGCTTCGACAACTAATTGCGCTTAGGTTCATTTTGTCCATTGTGTATTTGAATAATTACTGCTAGCTAATTGCACAAAAAGGAGATGTGCTGAGAATTCTACTGAGATTATGAATTAAGTAATTTGTTATCAAGTGTTCAAGGTCAATGATGCTAACAAGTATAAGAGACAAAGGGAGAAAATTGATAACTCAGCTACAGGATACCACTGAGCTGGAACCAGCTGGCTTGAAGACACAAAATTGACTGAAGAAAAAATTGTGATCCGCAACTCGATATCAAATTCAACTAGATGAAAGCGATAAGATGAAGGAGAAAATATTAAAACATTATTTTTCTAGACTCAATGCAAGCCTATATGCAGTTAGAGGTGTAATCGAGTCGAGTCGAGTCGAGCCGATACGATGATAAAGTCGAGCTCGAGTTCGACTTTAAACTTGCTGCTCGATACTCGGCTCGAACTCGATCGAGTTTCATTTTTCTAGCTCGAACTCGATTCGTATTCGAAATCGAGCTATTCGAGCTCGTTCGATTAAGCTCGATTAATATATAAAAAAAAATGTCGATTTTTATACTCGAAAAAAAACTCGATTATTCGAGCTCGAGATCTTTTACAACTAATTTTTATCAAACCTAATAAATATTATATTTTCAAGATAACAACAACAACAATAACAACAACAACAATAATAATAATAACTTACACAACAACCAAATTTAAGCAAATAAAAGTCTCATTAAATGATTCAAATACAACACACAAATATAAGACATAATGAACTTAGAAATTAAAATCCTAATTGAAAGATATTAAATATCCAAGCAAATAAGTTCGCAAATAAGTTCACAAATAAGTTACAACAAACCAACAATAATACATATGCTGCCTTCACAATATTATGTCTTAAAATGAACATTGGGCTCATATTGCTTTTCAATAAACTTACACAAAAGAATAATTATAAAACAAAGAAATTATAATTAACAATAAGAATAATGATAAAAGTACCCATGCAAGAAAAAGATTGTAATATTATTACAATGATCAATAACTTTAAATTTTTAACATTAGCATCAACATGGATTTTATCTTGTCAGTTGTCTTATAATCAATGCAAAAAAATATAAACAGTATCTTGTCAATTACCTTAACATGAGTTTCTATCATTAGTTAACCTATGGTTCGTAAATTAAAATGCAAAAAGCTCAATCTAGACTAGTTACTACCTATTTTTCTTTAGTAATGTTGTGACAAATTAAAAGTATTTAATAATAATATTTCATACGTGTATAGAAGACATTAGATATCCTCACTTTAGGGGATTTTGAGTGCAATCTCAATTGATTTCTTCTCTTTCTACATAGATAAAGTAAAGGAAAATAATAGTTAAAAGTTAGATTAAAGCAATGATAGTCACCTAATAACAAAATAATAATAAAAAAAACTACTTTGTTCTTCTTCTTCACTCCATGAAGATTCCGACACCAATCTCCTCCATAAAGTAATGCTTGCACTGTGTCAGGAGATAAAGAAGTACGATAAGTATCAATAACTCTACCTCCTGCACTAAAGATAGCTTCTGAAGCCACTGTAGTGATAGGAATAGCAAGTATATCCCGAGCCATCTTGGATAAAATACGATACTTCAAAGTGCTCGTTTTCCACCATTCCAAAGCATGAAACTTAGTGGAATCTCCTTCACAGATAAAACAGCCTTCAGCTAGGTAGACATCTAAATCACATTGTTGTGGTTGAGTAGTTTCAACTGATTTTACATAATTTGCAAATTCAAACCAACCAGAAGAAGAAGCTTCTATATTCATACCTCTAATACCATTATCATGCACTTGAGTTTCAGCACTATGCTCATTGCCAAATTGATACTCACGAGCATATTCATCATAAATCTCATAAAGGGCATCTCGAACTTTAGCAATATTTTTTTTAGCAATATTTTTTCTTGCTTCTCTATCAGGGTACATTCGAGGAAAGCAAAACTCAATCACCCTCATTTTGCACCTTGGATCCAAGATTGCTGCTATAGACATCAACAAATTACATTCTCCCCAATACTTATCAAATTTACTCTTCATCTTACGAACCATTGCTTGAACAAATTCATTTTCATCATTCATCCTTTTATCCAACAACATTTTCACACGATAAACTTCATTCAGAAACAGGTTTGAAGTTGGATAATCACTTCCAGAGATGATTTTAGTGGCTGAATTAAAAACTTCTAAAATCTCACAAACTTTCTCCACTTTTTTCCAATCTTCATGACTTGGACAACATTCATAATGAGATTCTCGCTCTTTGAGTCTCGAAAACACTTTTTTGAATTTGATTGCAATCGACAACATCTCGAATGTCGAATTCCAACGTGTTTTACAATCGAGAATGAGTTTCCCATCAAGGTAACTGTAACTGCTATACTATGTCAGAAAATGAGTTAAGTCTTGCCTCATTTTGATTAATAAAATTGACACTTTCATGAACATCACCAATCACATTCTTAATCTCAGAAAGGCCATCTTGAACCATGAGATTTAAGATATGTGCACAACACCGAACATGAAATAATTTTTCTCCACAAAGCAATATCCTATTTCTTGAAAAAGTGTCTTTAAGAATTTTAATCGCCACATCATTGCTTGAAGCATTGTTCACAGAAAGTGTAAACACCTTGTTTTCATTTTCCCATTCCTTTAGACACTTAAAAATACAATCAGCAATCTCAACGTCACGACGAGGAGGAGGTATGTGAACAAAGCTAATAACACGCTTTTGCAATATCTAATTAGAATCTACAAAGTGTGCTGTAAGAACCATGTACTCAATCTTTTGATTACTTGATTTCCACAAATCTGTTGTCAAACTAATCTTGCTGACAGTCTTCAACAATGCCTTTAATTTCTTCTTTTCTGCTTCATAAACTTGCATGCAATCCTTTTTAATAGTATTGCGTGATACCTTTTCCCATTCAGGCATCCCACGTTTTTGCATCATGTTAAAACCTTCCTCTTCTATAATCGAAAAAGGATGCTCGTGCATAAGTATCCAATGTGCAGCTGCTTCTCTCATCTTTACCATATCAAACTTGCCATCTGTGAGAGCAGGTAGTATTTGTACATCACCATATGTGTTTACTGGCTGAAAGTTGATCATTTATTGTTGATTCTGAAAAATTTTTCTCTTAACACAAGTTATTAAATGCCTCTTAAATTGAGTTGTACTTTTACTTGTATTTATTGCTAGCTTCTTCTTGCAATGGACACACTCTTTTTTTTTGAACCATCAGAAAGAGTGACTTCTTTGAACTCTGACCAAACAACAGATGTCTTTTGCCTCTTTTTCTCATTACTTTTTTCACACTCTTCAGGGTCAGCATTATCACATTCTCTATCATTGGCATCAATGACTGGTGTTTTATCTGTGTTACCATTAGTGGCATCTAAAGCTTCATTCATTGAATCATTACCATCACCTGACACAATTCGACTAGTAAAAGAATTTATTGTCGGCTGAACTGGTATAGAAGAGATATCCGGTGTGGTTGATGACATGTTTAGTTCCCTATAGCAAAAAAAAAAAAAAAGACAAATCAAAACAATAATATAATTTTAGGATCAAACAATAAGGCAAACAAGTTGTTAGAAACATGTGCGATAAATTTTATTGCCAGAAACATGCTAAACAAGTTGCGAGAACAAATTATTGGAAGAGTATAAAATTTTATTCTTTAGGAAAATATACTAATATTGTAGGAATTTTAATAAATTTAAGATTACCTACTTCGATAATAATTTCAATTTCTAAAATCAATTTCTTAAAATGAATATTTCTTATTAATTTTTACAATTATACATGCCTATTTAGTAGTTATATAACATTAACTCAATCTCATTAGAAATAAGTGTCAGGTTATATTCTAACAAATCTAATATTCATAAAGAAGAAAAGTATTCACATTAAACAGTCCCCAATAAATTAGTGATGAACTATATGGAAGCTCAAATTATGATTATGACTAAAAACAATAGAGCCAATGACCTTTTTTTTTTTTGTTAAATAATATGAACCATCCAAAAGTTTTTCTACTGATAAAGCGTATTGTGCAAGTCTTGAAGTGGCCCAAATTCAATTACTTTCTTGCTAATAATATAGAGACTTTTGGTTTACAAAATTCAGTATTTAAATGCAACTTCACAAAGAACATACTGCTTTTCACAAGTTTGCAACAAAAATAAAAGTATAATATGATAGTGTTTGACAAACAAATCAGAATTGAGAATATCAATACTAACAAATAGCTATAACACCTTGCCCCCTTTCATTGTTGTTCTCGATCTGCATCCCCACAATATTCATAAGGGTATTTAATTTAGGCATTCATAAGGGTATTTAATTAAGGCATTCTTATTTAAACCACCTTTTAGCATGAATTGGAAGCCTAACATAAAAACATTTAATAAAAAAATGGCACTCAAAAAGTATGTCATGGAGAAAGGGCTATGTTGAGGGATCGGGTTCTGTTCAAGCTACTGCAAACGTCGAATGGGTGGAACGAGCTTACCTTTTAGAGAGAGGAGAAAGGGCTACATTGAGGGATCGGGTTCTGTTCAAGATCGGGTTCTGTTCAAGCTTCTGCAAACGTTGAATGGGTGGAACGAGCAAGGCTACGTTGAGGGATCGGGTTCTGTTCAAGATCGGGTTCTATTCAAGCTACTGTAAACGTCGAATGGGTGGAACGAGCAGGGCTTCGTTGAGGGATCGGGTTCTGTTCAAGATTGGGTTCTGTTCAAGCTACTGCAAACGTCGAATGGGTGGAACGAGCAGGGCTTCGTTGAGGGTTCGGGTTCTGTTCAAGATCGGGTTTTGTTCAAGCTACTGCAAACGTCGAATGGGTGCTACTGCAAACATCGAATGGGTGGAACGAGCAGGGCTTCGTTGAGGGATCAGGTTTTGTTTAAGATCGGGTTCTGTTGAAGCTGCTGCAAACGTCGAATGGGTGGAACGAGCAGGGCTACATTGAGGGATCGGGTTCTGTTCAAGATCGGGTTCTATTCAAGCTTTTTAGAGAGAGGAGAAAGGGCTTTCGAAAGGGTGGAACAAGCTTGGAAGACAATGGAGTGGGATTCGGGAAGAAAAGGCGCCGCAAGTGTCTGTTGGTGAGTGAGAGAGACGGGGAGAAAGATTGAAGGAGAAGAGGGAAAGAAAGAAAATAAAATTTTAGGGTTTTTTAAGCTAAGGGTAAAAAAGTAATTTTATAAATAAAATAATAAAAATAAATATATAATAGAAAAAATTGATTAGGCTCGCGAGCTACTCGAGTCGGATATAAGAATACTCGAATTCGACTCGATCGATAAGTCGAGCTACTCGAGCTCGAGCTCGACTCGATAATAATCGAATCGAATTCGAGTTTTCTTCGAATCGAACTCGAGTAGCTTGCGAGTACTAATGTATCATTTACACCCCTATATGCAGCGCCAGCTTAAACCTATTCAGAGAATCCGGACATCAAGGGTCTATCACTGCTCAAAAATAACTTAACATTTCTACAACATTTAAAATGAAGTTGTTTTTTTTCCTGTTTTTCTAACTCTAGCTTCAGACATGATCAGATATGAAACTGAATTGAACAAATGTGATGTTGTGATTGTCCCAAAAAATTATTATAGAAATGTGACATCATTTGTTGTATATTTAAAAAGCAAAATGTTAATTCATTATACGACATTTAATTCGAATTTTTTTGTGTACTATGACTGTTCTAGATAAGATAAATATTAGATTAAGTAGAGGCAAGTGGTCATTGAACTTTGCTTCTGTTTGTTTTCCCTTCTGTCTTTAAGCTCCACCCCATGGTATCAGTATCCCAGTTGCAGAAGTAAGGACCGTGTCTCAGGCTTCTGCCCTGCTTTAACCTTTGTTGAAGCAGCCGGTGATGGAGTGGTCATGGACAATTCTTGCAGTTTCTACACTTATCTTTTTCTTTCACGCATTGAGATGGAAAAGAAGGGCCAAAAATAAGAGATTACCTCCCGGTCCGAGAGGGCTTCCTATTTTTGGAAACCTTTTCATGGTGGGGAACAAACCTCACCAAGATCTTCAACAGTTAGCCCAGAAGTATGGCCCCATAATGCACTTACGCTTTGGCCTGATGCCTGTAATTGTTGTCTCATCCCCTGAAGCTGCCGAGCTATTCCTCAAGACATATGACCTTGTTTTTGCTAGCAGGCCACCTCATGAAGTTGCCAAGCATGTTGGTTACAATCAGCAGAATTTGTCCTTCTCCCCATACGGTTCCTATTGGCGCAACATGCGTAAGATATGCACTCTAGAGTTGCTTAGTAACCTCAAAATAAATTCTTTCAGTTCCATGAGAAAGGAAGAGCTTTTTCTTTTAATTCAGTATATTCAAGAGGCTGCTTCTGCTCGAGTTGCAGTTGATCTTAGTGCTAAGGTCTCATCTCTTACTACAGATATTTCTTGTAGAATGGTGCTTGGAAAGAAATATAGTAATGATGATTTCAACGAAAAAGGCTTCGAAGCTATAATTCGAGAGGGCATGCAAACAATTGCTGCTTTTAATTTAGCTGATTACATTCCTCAAATTAAAGGACTTGATCTTCAGGGTCTAACAAAACGCCTGAAAACTATTGCCAAGGTTTTTGACGACTTCTTTGAGAAGGTAATTGATGAGCATGTTCAATCCAAAGATGAAAACAGAATCATGGACTTCGTTGATGTCATGCTGGGATTCATTGGATCTGAAGAAACTGATCAGTACCATGTCGAGCGAGACAATATCAAAGCAATAATATTGGTACTCTTCTTTTGTGCACGTTTACTTGTCCATTCACTCCATTGTGCCTTTTGGTCTAAAAAATGTTTGTTTATGACAATTTTGCAGGACATCCTTGCAGCTTCAATGGATACTTCAGCTACTGCAATTGAGTGGACACTGTCCGAACTCATCAGACATCCACGGTTGACAAAGAAAGTCCAAAAAGAACTGGAAAATGTAGTAGGCATGGACAGGATGGTCGAAGAATCAGACTTGGAGAAATTGAAGTACTTAGACATGGTTGTGAAAGAAAGCTTTAGGCTTCACCCCGTGGTACCATTGCTGCTCCCGCATGCATCTATGGAAGACTGCATAGTGAATGGCTATCACATACCCAAGAATTCACGAATCTTCATAAACGCATGGGCCATCGGTAGGGACCAAAAGGTTTGGACTGATGCAGAGAAGTTTTATCCAGAGAGATTTGTTGGAAGTGACATTGATCTTCGTGGACGCAACTTCCAGCTAATCCCATTTGGTTCTGGCCGCAGAGGCTGCCCTGGAATGCAACTGGGTCTCACTATTGTTCGGCTTGTGGTGGCACAATTGGTGCATTGCTTCGATTGGGAACTCCCGGATGATATGTTGGCTACTGACTTGGACATGACTGAGGATTGTGGTCTAGTATGTCGTAGGGCTAAGCATCTCCTGGCTATACCAACCTGGCGCCTAAAAACATGAGAAAATGGCTGTGTAATTTCTACTAGAGTATCTTTTCTGGATATATTTGTTGCCTTCTCTAGTACTTTAGCTTTTCTCGTTAGAACGCAAGTTTTGGATTTATCATATCTAATTATCATGATTAAATAAATAAGATCTAGATTAATTGCCTTTTCTTTTGGATATCCAATTTAAAACAAAGTATCCTAGCATTTTTTTAGACTTACAATCATAAGATGCACTGATATAATATTAAAATTTTAATTTAAAATTTGATTGGATAAATCATAAAATTAAAGAAAAAAAAGCTTTAATAGAAGATTGTTTTGATTTAATTCAGCTTATTATTTTTGCTGCAAATTTATAAATGAAGCAATATTATTATTATCTATACCTTTATGTAAAGTAAGTTTGACCCTATGGAGAAAAAAATATATTTGATTTATCTTTGTATACTCATGTATGTATAATTTACAGATTATTAATGTTAATAATGGTTAAAATCTAAATAATTTATAAATTTCATATGCCAATTTTAGCGTTAAATTATAATGATTAAAATGGAAGGTATTACATTTTATCATAAATTGCATTATCTATAAGAAAACAAAAACATATATTAGACCAATGAATAAAAAGTCCACCTTAAAGAAGTTTGTTTTTCCAGCAACGGCGTCGCTGCTTATTTTATCCTTCTACCATAAACGTCGTCGTTACTTGATCGAGAGTGTACTTAGAATTGAATTTGCAATTCTGCATTATGAAGATTGAATTTTAAACCCTAAAACCCGCTGCACAGAATTCCTCAAAAACCTTAATGCAAACCCTCAAATCATCTTCCATTTTCTCAACTTCCTATTTTCTCAATTTTTCGTTAAAACCCAAATCATTTATTTTTATTCTCTCATATTCTTCTTCCACCTCTGTTTCGAATCCGCCCCTTTTCAATTATCTTGTAAAAAACTTGGATTTCACTGAAACCCAAGCTGTTTCAATCTCTAACCGTTACTCTCATGTGAAATCCCTCCAAAAGGCTCAATCGGTTGCCAATTTTTTTCAAAGTCTTGGCTTTTCCAATGCCGAAACAGCCTTTGCTGTCCGTTTGGAGCCCCAAATTCTGTTTGCTGATGTAGAAAAGAAGCTTAGGCCAACAATCAAACTTTTTCAAGATCTGGGTCTTGTGGAACCCCATCTGGGTAAGTTCTTTTCCAGGAATTCTACGCTTTTAACTTGTAGTTTAGATAAAAAGTTGATTCCTTCTATCCAATTTGTCAAGAAAATTTTAGGGAATAATAATGAAGACTTGTTTAAGGTCTTCAGTAGATGCAATGGTTTTATTGCTAGAGATGGCATATCAAAGTTGTCGAGAAACATTGAGTATTAGGAAAGCTGTGGGATTGTTGGGTCTCAGCTCTCAAAGTTGTTAACGAGACAACCTAGGATTTTTAGGATGCGAGAATCGGCATTAAGGGATCTCGTTACGAGGGTTGTAGATATGGGGATTTCGACTGATTCGAGGATGTTAGTGCATGCTATTCATACCTTGAGTTGCTTGAGTGAACAAACATTTAAGAAGAAATGTGAATTACTTAAGACTTTTGGTTTTTCAGACAGTCATTGCCTGGTTATGTTTAGGAAGAACCCAGGTGTTTTTAGGGTCTCTGAGAAGAAAATGAAGTTAGGAATTGAGTTCTTTCTTAATGTGGCAAAGTTTGATAAGAATGTTTTGGCTTCTAGGCCAATTCTTTTGATGAGTAGTTTGAAAGATCGTGTGATTCCTAGATACCGAGTTTTGCAGATTGTTAAGTCCAAGAAGTTGTTGAAAACGGATCGGAGTTTTCTTTACATCTTGGAATATACAGAGAATGAATTCTTGGAGTTCATATCAAGGTTTCCAGATGATGTGGAAGAACTGTTGATGGCTTACAAAGCTCATCTTTTGCACACTTGTTCTTCGGAAGAAGAAGAAAACACATGATAAAAGTCTGTTTCTAGGCCAATTCTTTTGATGAGTAGTTTGGGAGATCATTTGATTCCTCAAGATTGAGTTTTGCAGATTACTAGTTAGAAGGAGTTGTTGCAAATGTTTTGGAGTTTTCTTTACATCTTGGAATATACAGAGAATGAATTCTTGGAGTTCATGTCAAGGTTTCCAGGTAATGTGGAGGAACTGCTGATAGCTTACAAGGCTCATCTTTTGCACACTTCTTTTCTAGAAGAAAAAACATGCCAAGTCTGTTTTTATTTAATTTGGTTTTACTTTGTCAAAGGCCACTTTTGGGCTTTCATGTTGATTCGAGATGGTCCTGGTATACTAATGTGTCATTTAATTTAGTTTATATTTGATCTATACACTTAACAGTGTATAGAGTTTATATTTTATGCCATTTTTTGTTTTGACTATTTTGAGACAAATTTGTTCAGCTTTTCTTCATCATGAATAAAGTTCATCCTTTCGCTGTCTTCAAAAAGAAGAAAAAAAAAAACACTTCAGAGGAAAAGAAAGGCTTGATGTGGTGATGTTTAATTTATGATTCATCAATTATGCATATGTGGTATGGATTTCATGTATGAGACTAACAAAGATGGAATAGACATAAAAGAATTAGAGAGGATACCCTAAATAGCTGTGAGCTATTACACCTTTTTTTTTTTAATGTGCTACTTAATAAAAACAATGTTAAATTGGTATCTAATTTTATTAAATTATTTTAATCCCTAAGATCGTTAGAATAAACATTAATGTAGTTAACAGTGATGTGGATGAGACATGATTATTACGTGATAGCGATGTGATTGTATCTTGTAATATTAAAAAAAAAAAAAAAACTAAAAGATAAAAAGTTTTTTTTATTATTTTTAAATTATTTTATTTTAAAAGTTTTGTATTTTTATTTTTTAAAATATGACATGTGGTATCCGCATTATTCTCATATGGTAATCACATGTAATTCACATCAATGTTGATTGCCACATTAACACTTATTTTAATGATTTTTAAAATTGGAATAACTTAATAAATAAAAATGAAATTTAAGTAACTATTTAAAATTTTTTAATTTAGATATCACATTAAAAAATACAATAATTAGAGTTTATTTATGATATTAACTCAAAGATAAGTATTACTAACATTCATACCAACTTGACAACAAGTGAGGTATTGAGTTGATAATAAAGAATTTTATCCTGAAGCCAACCAGACCAAGATAAAACAAATAAATGAAAATGTTAGTTATATAAAATTTTCCAAGATAATTTCAGTGAAAATCAACTGAAATTATGAGAAAAACGTTCTCGTTTTTTTGAACTAAAAATTAATGACTTAGCTAAAATTATTAGAGTTAAACCTATGATTTATATCAAACAGGATATAGATAAGTTTGAAATTCAAATTTTAAAACTTTTCAAGAAAGGTTTAATTGAACAAACAGATAGCCCTCATTTTAGTATTGCATTTCTTGTCAGAAAACATTCTAAACAAAAACGTGGTCAAGCCCTATGATAATCAACTATAAAAGGCTTAACCAAAATTTTGTTTTTGATGGATATTTTATCCCAAAAAAGATGTTTTAATCAATTTAGCAAAAGATGCTAAATATTTTAGTAAATTTAACTGTAATTTTAGTTTTTGGCAAATAATGCTTACCAAAAAGTCAAAATCATTGACTACTTTTTGTGCACCAACAAGCCATTACCAATGGACTATTATGTCATTCAAATTATGTAATGCCTCTCAAATCTTTCGAGGTGAATGGACAAAATTTTTGCAAAACATAAAAAATTTTATTGTGTATATATTGATGATATTTTAGTTTTTTTCTAAAAATCTAATTGAGCATAAAAAACATCTTAATATTATTGTTTAAGAGTTTGTCAAACATGGTATTATACTCAGTTCAAAAAAGATTGAGTTAGAAAAAATTAAAATAGGATTTTTAGGATTAAATCTCTCATCATATGGTTTTACTCTTCAAGATCATATTATTTCAAAAATTAAAGATTTTCCAGAATAACTAGAAAATATAAAACATTTGCAACAATTCCTTAGTCCTTTTAACTATGGAAAACAATTCTTCAAAAATTTCTCTAAAAAGGAGAAAATTCTACAAGAAAAATTGATAAAAGATATTGAATTTTCTTGGATAGACCAAGATTCTGGTATTATCAAACAAATAAAATTAGAACTTGCTACTATTTCAAAAGTATATTTACCTAAACAAGGTGATTATCTAATCTTGGAAACAGATGCTTTAAATGAACACTAGGGATGTGTTTTAAAAGCAAAAGTTCAAAAATAAACTTATTTATGGTTATAATTCTGGCAAGTTCAAACAGAACGAAATCAAATATATTATATTTGAAAAAGAATTATTAGCCATTAAAAATACTATTTTTAAATTTCATATTTATCTTGCACTTGAACATTTTACAATCAGAACTGATAACCAATATGTTCGAGATTTCTTAAAAAATAGAAAAATAGAAACTAATCCAAGATGGATTAGGTGGTATAATTTTTTATGTCAATATACTTTTAGTATTGAATTTATTAATGGTGATAAAAATTTTCTTGTAGATTATCTTAACAGGCCAGAGGGATAGAGTTAAAAACCCTCTACAGCAGCAAGAAGGATAGAGAACAATACAAAAAAGGCAAACTAAAAAAGTTTCCTCTTCTTCCTTTTCCTCTACAAATACTAAATCATATCTTAACCTGGGATATACACCTTTTATTAACCCTCAAGAGGATTTACCGCATTAGATTCCTTAAATGCCTTATTTTATCTTTCCATAAAAAAGATGTAAATACAACCCAGTACTACAAATCCTTAAAAATCTTTCACCATTTTCTTAGGATCCAAACCAATAGACCCTTATTTCTTATTCAAAATTGTACAATCATAAAAAAATTGTTGGAAAGATACAAAAATGACAAATGTAGAAAATAAAAAATTTCTACAATCCTGGTCTTCCCTGTTGACATATACAATATGTTCAACAATATTTGAAAATCCCCATCCCTCTCAAAACAAATCGAATTTTAGAAAAAAGATGACTAAATTAGTTGAATTCTTAGTTAAAAAAGCTAAAAAAAAGTAACTTTTTGATGAATTGGTTTTCAAAAATCTTTGTTCTTCATATCTGCTAAAAAAGCAAGACGTAGATTTCTTTGAAGAAAACCATATTCTATTCAAGAAATAAAAAATTCTTCTAACCTTACTAGATTTGAGAAGTTGAGAAACTTATGTCTGGTCTTCCCTTGGAACCAATAATGGATGGAATTGAAAATTTCTGAACTACTAAACCAAGTAATTTAGAAAATACTCAAATTCATCAAGATATCACTTCCAAACAGGAATATCCATGATGAATTATGCCAAAGTTCTTTTGACTCAAGTTAGTCGTTCATCATATCTCAAAATTTTTGCCCAAATAGATGGACGAAGAATTTTTGTCGAAAGATTCTATGTTGCCGTCAATGATTTTGAAATGGTAGTAGAACCTGAAGCAGTGGCACTACTACAAAAAAATAAAAAATGGAAGACATTGATTGTCCTCAACATCTTCTGTTTCAATATCAAGAAGGATGATAGATGTGGAATAAATCAAAAACTGTTTTGTTATATGCATTTTTCTATCCATAATCTCTTTGGAACATACCATAATCTCCTTGGAACATACTAAGAAAAATTCTTCCAACCTTACCAGATATGGGAAGTTGAGAAACTTATGTCTGGTCCTCCCTTGGAACTAGCAATGGATGGAATTGAAAATTTTGAACAACTAAACCAAGTAATACAGAAATACTCAAATTCATCAAGATATCACTTACAAACAAGAATATCCATGATTAATTATGCCAAAATTCTTTTGACTCAAACTATTCATTCATCGTATCTCAGAATTTCTACCCAAACAGATGGACAAAGAATTTTTGTTAAAAGATTCTATGCTGCCGCCAATGACTTTGAAATGGTAGTAAAACCTGAAGTACTAGCACTATTACAAAAAATATTAGAAATGAAAGACATGGATCTTCTTTAGCATCTTCTATTTCAATATCAAAAGGATGACAAATGTAGAATAAATCTAGAACAGTTTCTACTCGATCTTTTAATCCTAAAGATGAAAAGTTAATTAATCTAGATAATATTCAAAAAGGATAAGTTATTCCAAACCAAAATAAACTTACACCAATACCACTGGCAAGTCAAGACAGCTTAGTTCAAAGTCTGAGACAGCAAGTAAACAAACATCAATCTGCTGTAGTATCTACAGTAACAAATAAAAATATTGTCATTATTCATGAAAACTGTCAAAATAAACTATAGCTACTTATTAACTCGTGTATAGTTAAGAGGTTTATAAATAGAGAGCTAATATCATACATTGGTTTGGACTCATAAATTTGCATTTGCTAGTTTTGATTGATGAAAAAAAAAATCCTTGTAAACTCTGGAAACTTGACCATGTGACCAATGCCTAGTACACCAGACTGGGGTTAGGTTTTTCTTTTTCGGCTTAGTTTAGGGTTGCTCAACATCAACTGACTGGCTGACCTGACTAAGCATTCATTTGGATTCAACTGAAGCTTTTTTGAAATCCATTAAAGCATTTCACTAGATTGATGAAGCGTTTGAAAAGCATAATTCAATGCGTTTCATGCTTTTCAATTGCATTGGAGGTTTAAAAACTAATTGGAGCTTCAGGGTTCAGTGAAAACATTTCACTCTCATCGCGACATTCTTTCTTTTATTACCCATGCTCTTTTTTTTTTTTCTTTTTTACCCTTAAGATTTACGTGCAGAGATGAGAATATCCATATCAATTGTATGCTTTGTTTTTATCTTTTTTATTATTTATTTGTTTTATTGGTTATTCTAGTTTTTTATTTAAATATTTTCAAATAATATCATTATAATTATTTAATAAATCTTTTATATAATTAATAAATTAATTAATAAAATAAAAAGC